GAGATCTAGGGGTGGAAGGGTCACGGTCAGCTATTGGGGATGTTGGTTACAGGTCAGGAGTATCAGCCAGGTAGCACGAAAGACTCATCGCCATTGATTATATATCATTTCTGTAACAATGTCCCGCTGCCAACAGTTAGAGCTATGGCAATCCGTGAACCGAACGAATGATTTTTGTCCATGACAATAACTCGATCCATAAAACGCGCATTGTCACCAGATGGACTAGGGATCATCCAGATATTCAGGAAGTGGTCTGGCCTGCGGTTTAAACTTAACTGAAAATCGAGAATTATGCAGCACAAGATACCTATTGACCCTGGTAGGACCTGTAATGAAATATGCCGATCAGTGAGAGAGGCACGGGAATCTGAATGATGCGGATCTAACATTTACAATCACCTCCTGAGATGTATGCTGATTAGGGAGGTGAGGTGATTAATGCCCTCTGTGGGTGGAGCCGATATGAGTTTCTATAGTTGATAATGATATAATTTTACTAAATGCTTAATATACACATTAAATATTACAGTAGACTGCTGAATAACTCTAGATAATTTACAATTGAACAAAATCATATGTTTCCAACAATGTGCAAATCGCTTTTACTTAAATACTTGTGTGTATTACAATACACTAATATGACCTTTGCAGACACAAACCTCTCGGAACATATGATATCCAGATACAAACAATATTTATGGTAGTTAACCAATTTTTCAAAAATGACTTTTAATTTTATATATTAGCCCGTGCCTGTCAACATAGTAAGTCATATTCACTAGTGTTTAATATCATCAATATAATCATTACCATAGGAAGGAGGCTCCTCTCCCTAAAAGTGTCGTTTGTCCTCTCTTGAAGAGAGATGACCATCTTCGTTCACTTTTGTTCATCCTAGGGGACTAAGTGGGTTCGAAGGTGGCTGATGAGGCCAATCCGAGCCTGGAATGTTCTGGCACAGTGAGGGCAGGACAGCGAAGCTGGGGCCTGTGTTGGAAGGTTGATGCAACGGGCCTACCGGGCTTCTCGCTTGGTCTTGGCAGTCTCGGTGCGTTGCTGCTCGTACGCTGCCACTCCTTTGTGGATCACACTGTGCCATGCTGATCGATCCTGTGCAAGTGCCTCCCACAAGTTGTAGTCCACTCCAAAGTCCTTCATGGAGGCTTTGAGTGTCTCCTTGAAGCGTTTCTTCTGGCCTCCATGACAATCCAGTCTGCAGTTCTCTGTAGAGAAGGCGCTTGGGTAGTCATTCATCGGACATCCTGGTGACATGACCAGCCCAGCGAAGTTGGGACTTGGGGAGCATGGTGAAGATACTGGACATTCCTGTCTGCTCGAGAATCTCTGTGTCGGGCTCTTTGTCCTGCCACTTCACTTTCAGTAATTTGCGAAGGCAGTTGAGGTGAGAGTGATTGAGTTTCTTTGCGTGCCTCTGGTAGACAGTCCAGGTCCCGCTGGCATACAGTAGAGTGGACGATGGCTCTGTAGACACTAGCTTTGTTGCAAGACTCACACCCTTGCGCTCCCACACTGATGAGCGCAGCCGGCCAAAAGCCACACTAGCTTTGGCGATCCTGGCATCAGTCTCGTCGTCGATGTGCACACTGCGAGATAGCGCCCTGCAGAGGTATGTGAACTTGTCCACAGCTGCCAGTTTCTGTCCATTCATGGTCACTGTTGGTTCTTGGTAATGTTTCCCTGGAGCAGGTTGGTATATAACCTCGGTCTTTTTGGTGATGATCGTAAGACCAAAGTTGATGCAGGCAGTGGAGAACAGATCCATTGAGTGCTGCATGTCTTCAGGGCAGCTTGCCATCTGTTCTGCATCTGATGTTGATGCCTGGGTCGGAATCCTGGAAGGCATCTGTTAGCATGGCTGAAAACATCATGCCTTGTTTCACTCCGTTTGTCACTGGGAAGGGAGTGAATAACTCTCCGTTGTCAAGGACTTGAGCCTGCATGCCGTCATGGAATTGCCGAAGCATCGTGATGAATCTGTCAGGGCATCTAAACTTGCTCATGATGCTCCAAAGGCCGCTGCGGCTGACAGTGTCAAAGGCTTTCGTCAGGTCCACAAAGGTGGTATACAGGTCAACTTTCTGCTCCTGGCACTTCTCCTGCAGCTGGCGTGCAGCGAACACCATGTCGATGGTTCCACGCTCCTTTCGGAAGCCACACTAGCTCTCTGGCAGCAGGCCGTTCTCCAGGTGTTCGATGCGGCAGTTCAGGAGGATTCTCGCTAGGATCTTTCCAGCAATGCAGAGAAGTGATATTCCTCTGTGGTTGTCACACGCCTGTCTGTTGCCTTTCTGCTTGTAGAGGTGAACCACAGAAGCATCTTTGAATTCTTGAGGGACTGCTCCCTGGGTCCACATGGCCTGGAACAGCTGTGTCATCTGTGTCCTTTTGGAAGCCACACTGGCTCTCTGGCAGCAGGCCGTTCTCCAGGTGTTTGATGAGGCAGTTCAGGAGGATTTTCGCTAGGATCTTTCCAGCA